GGAGAAGAATGGAGGAACTCTGATTGGAAAAGGGGGAAGAAGGAGATGGAGAATGGGGGCAGGAAAGATGTTGGAATGAGATGGACATCATTACCCTAGGTACATGTATGACTACAATATATGGTGGGACTCTTCATCATGTACAATCAGAGAAGTGAAAAGTTGTGCTCCATTTGTATACAATGAATCAAAATGCATTCTGCTATCATGTATAACTAATTAGAACAAATATAAGTAAGTAAATAAATAAATAAAAAGGGTTGGGGATGTAGCTCAGTGGTAAAGGGACCTGGGTTCAATCCCCAGTACCAAAAGAAAAAGAAGAAGAAAAAAGAGAATTATTTTGAAGATAAATTCATATGTTGTAGAGAAAAAGCATTTCGGTTCTAGAATTTACTTGGGATTTTTGTTGTGGTGGTAGTGGTTGTTTACATTTTGTATTTTTTTTTTAAATCTTATTTATTTTTTGCTGTGCCAGGAATTGAACCCAGGGCCTCACACATCCGAAGCACACCTTCCACTGAGCTACATTCCCAGCCCAATTTTAAATATATATTGTTAAAATCCCAAATGTGTTAAAAGACAGTTTTTAAAATTGACATTTCGATCAGAGAATTTTGAACAAAGCAGATTCCTTCCATGTCAATGGGTTTCATCCCATCAATTGAAAGTCTGAATAGAATAAAAAGACCAGCCTCCCCTAAGCGAGAGTTTTCTAGTTGACTACCTAGGAATGGAACTGTGCCACTAGCTCTCCTAGGTCTCCAGCCAGCTCCCTCCTGCTGCACATTTTGGACTTTTCAACCTTAATAATCATGTGTGTCAATCTTATCTTTCTTTATATACATATCCTATTGGTTCTGCCTCTCTGGAAGACCCTAGATATGGAAATGCACTAAGGCTTACCATCCAGTTTTGTTCATACTTTGGCAGAAACCTTCTTGCTTACCAGTCCTTCAGAGTTTGAGGTGCAATGCCAAGGCCTAATGCACCAGCTACATATCAGCTCTGGCCCTGGGCAAACCAGGAACCTTTCCATCATTGATTGGGATATACCCACACCCTCTAATAGGCCCCACTCCATCATGGGGAAGTAAAGTCCCTTGCAAGGGTGGTCTTACATTGTGTACTCTCGGTCTTAGGGTACTCTCTTTCAGTGTACTAAGTGTTCTTTTATTCTCACTTATTAATTCTATTACCAATTCAATTAATGACAGGGCTTCCGTCTCCTGACTAATATGGTATCTACTGTCATATTTATATGTCTGTTTTATATTTTAAGTTTTTTCAAAATAGAGTTAAAGAAATTTTTCGATTAAATATTAAAATATTTAATTTTAAGGATCTTACAGAAACAAATGAGTTCATCTGTTTCTTGTACAGAAGAGCACAAGATTTACAGCAATCATTATGTTTTACTAATGCACTGAGATCTACATTAATTATGCATTACGAATATGTATATTGCTTACCATTGTAAAAACTTTTTTTTAAGAGAATACTCATGAGTATGCACAATTGATGTGCTATAGTATTTTCCTGAGCGCATGAAATACTTTAATAACAAACCAACCTAAGCTTTTTTGGAAATAATTTCTAGTAAATATTCATAATCAGCATAGTCCTTCAGTGACTGTATAAGTTCATCCAGTAGATAATCTCCTTGCATAAAAGTCTCAAGACCATGCAGTGATTTGTTTATTCTGTGATCTGTGACCTGGTTCTTTGGAAAATTGTATGTTCTTATTTTCTCTGATCTTTCTTTAGTTCCAACCTGGATCTTCCTAGCACTGTACCTTTTACTTGTTTCTTCCTCGAGATGCATATTGTACAGCTTTGCACGCAACTTTTTCATAGCCATCTATTTTTCAGTTGAGACCTCTCTTGTTGGCATTCAGAAACAACACCTGTTGGAAGAAGAACAATCCTCACAGCACTGTCCGTGGTATTTACATGCTGACCCCCAGCTCCACTAGCTCGCTTAGTATCGATTCTCAAATCTTTAGGATTAATCACCAGATTAATCTCAATGGGCTGGGGTAATATTGCCACTGTCATGGTGCTAGTATGGATGCGGCCTTGCTTCTCTGACTTTGGTACTCGCTGTACTCTATGCACTCCCCCTTCAAATTTCATGTGTTTACAGGCTTCTGAACCGCCAACGCTGGCAGATGCATGTCTAAGGCCAC